AATTGCATTCACTGTTTCATTGGGAAGCATGATGAAAATGGCGTTCACAACGATGACAAACGATGAACCGAAATTGCGGTTTTCGTAGATTACACTTAGTTTATGAAGGACTTTCTTCATGTCAGTTGGAATTCAAGGTAAATAGGTTACTACTGAGTTGGGATAACTGTTTACACGGGATACCACGCAGCGAAAATCAAACCTGGTTCTAGTATGATAAAGGGGAGAAAATAGATCAGGATTGAACGGGTGACTGGGGCCGTTAAAAAAGTTGCAGATGCATTGATCATCGAATATTGTTGGAAGATAACAAATTTCTCGGAGTACAGTGTTTATACGAATAACAGAAACACAATCAATAACTAGCAAGCCGCGGTGAAGTGTACTGAAACCCTCCTTAAGTAGTCCGAAACAATATTACTGGAAAAAAACAACAGGTTATAGAGTTGTATGCTCCACTCTGAATGTCGTAGCATGAGCGTTTGAAAGGACGAGGGACGCTGTCTTCCAACAAGTGGGAGGTCCACCGCGGATTACTATCATTGGTGACCACTAGGCATTTTGGTATTGTGCGTAATGATAATGAGTACGAAAGTGTTTGTTGAAGATTCAAAGGAATACTGATATCGCGCAAGACCAAATATGCTTTGGAAGCAGTGTGGATCATTAAAAAGGAGCTCAGACTGTTCAAACAACATTTGCACTTATGCTAAAATGTCAAAAAATAACTCATTATCAGATAAATTTGAACTGGTTTGTCATAAAACCACGTCATCAGCATATTTCGAGATCTTAGCTGGTGAGATAAAGTCACTGATGATTGTTGAAGGTTAGTATAGACAAAGTACAGCACCCTACAGGAGTCCAAAATTGTACACTAACAGTTGGAAGCAGCACGGTTTTTGGTAAGGTAACATAACGTTTAGGACCGGATTGCGCACCATAATTGTGATAGTGGAGAGAACAAACCAGCAGTTCCATAGAAAAGATGCAAATGGAACAATAAAGCGATATCAGGGTGATTGCCAAGCGGTCGAATATTGGATGATAGTGACGTATCACAAATAAGATGACTCGATTGAGAGTAAACACAGTTGGAAAGTACCATAGGGGAAGAGCAGCTCGCCCAGACTGGGCTACCGCATCACAATGCGGGACGTATTTGGGCCTTGTGGAGAGTGAGGCACAGAGGGGTGAAAACCGTACCGCGTTTCAAGCACGCGCATTGCAAAATCAGCAAGATAAGGGGAACAATGCATGTATTGGGAAATAGGATTCAAAGCATAAATGCAGAAGGTAGGGAATCAGACGAATAGTAATCGAAATACAGATTGATATTACAGAGATTGCGTTTACGAGATACATAAACGCAAGTTGTTGAAGCCTTGAAAAAAACTTGGTTTTCACCGACCCAAATAACGATGATTCTGCGGTCTTAATCGAATAACGCAAAAGCAGGCAATGGGTTGTGACTGACGGTGATGGAGAAAGCACGATACATTTTGTAAGAAAGAGAACTATCTTGGGTGGATTCAATGGTTAAAGGATGGATGGAATCTAGAGGTTCAGATAAAGTACTGTTGATAGAGAAACAAAAGAGGATGTGAAATATCAGTGTTCCTTACAGGATTCCGGATTGTTCCGAATGTGACTTCATTAACAAGACCGGAGATCGAGCGCTCACATATGAAGCTTCGTATGCAAGTAATGAAACACTTAGACAATCCAAACTTTAAACGTTTTACCAGGAATCCATCATGTCGAACTCGGTCGAACAACTTGGATTCATTGAAACATAGCACATGCAACCCGCCATAGTGGTCAGTGGTGAATAAACAAACGTGTGATATGTTTGCCCACAGATTGTAGTAGACTCTAGCAGTAGACGCCACATTGGAGTTCATTGAGAATCTCACGGAATTCCTGATGACAGCAATGTTTCGAAATCACTAGTTCCATAAACTTAAAAGTGGTTATTGTACGCCAGATGACGTGGTAGTGGGTTAAATTACGGATGAAAAAGATGCAAACAGTTTTCCAAGAGCAGCAAAATATTCCTTGTGAAAGGTATTGGGACAAAACATGAACATCTTAGAAGACGGAGTCTTGTGTGCATATAGCTAGCGCTGTTCTAGACGGATGTTCTAAATATGTTAGGAAAGATTGGTGGACAACATAGAGTGCTAAGTCAAAAGGAAGGAAAAACTCTTTTCATTGTCGGGGGAAAATCGCTCAAACCAAAATTACGGGAAACCGGATTAAGGACAGTTAGTGAATTTGTGAGCCTCAAAAACGTGAACATCAAGCAGCATAAGTTACTGGAACGGAATTTGCACACCGGCATGTTCTGTAAAACTAACTGGCAACGGCCAAATGCTTTCATATTAGTTCAACTGTTTTCAATCCATAAGGTTGGATAGTCTTGATCCTCCGGTCAATTATGTATTCATGTTTCGAAATCCGTTGCTCTCAGTTCACTAAATTCATTTCTACACGAAACTCCTCGAATCTGTTTTTCACTTATACATTGTTTTCATTGAATGAAACAAAAATGCGTTACTGAACATCCAGCCACTCGGTTTCTTCCAGGTTAAGTAGTTTTCTGGTAATCTCATCGACGTGTATGCGAGAAATCCCTTTTATTATGGACGAGATGTGTGCCATATCCAATCAGAAACTGAAACTAGCTTATGCAGTGTCATTCAGTCAGCTGTACGACTGAAAGCTCTGAACGGCAAAGCCATAAGTGCTAAGTTCCATCGAACGCTCACCACCTCATCTAGTTTCTAAAGGTAAGACCATGTTTGGGTCTGTTATTATTGCGCATTATAAACTTGACCCGATTATG